TTGAAAACCACAGCATTTACAGAGACAGTTTGTTCTTTGGTTTCTCAGCACGGTCCAGGCTGTGTCAGGCTGAGGACCAGCTGCTTCCTAAGGCATGGGAAGCCCAGAGTTGAGTGTGAGGACACCTCCTGGCAGGGCACCCGTGCCAGCACCCACACCACCGCACATGTCCATTGCCTTCCTCACAGGCACAAGCTAGCATCACTGAATGAGAATTCTGTTCACCAGCAGTGAACTGCAGGGAAAACAAAGCCTAAGCAGATAGAAACTAACTACTGGCTTTCATTCGTGCTTAAATATACGTGACATATAGTATCGTCACAGAGTGCCTCTCCATCATACCTTCTTTTTCTTTGCATTTTCTTTCTCCTCAGCATGCTGCTGCCAAACACTTTGCACATCCAAATCAAAAAGCCCTCTTCTCTGTTCAGAACTGTTGCCATGATTGTCATCAGCCTTAAATTCTCTGCGAATCATATAATCTGCGAGAGAGGAAACAGAGCTCCTGCAGACAAAGATTTAGTGCTTGTTTGTGCCAGGGATACATACATATGCTGCACTTGCACGTGCGGCTTTTTCTTTTCCTGTTAAACTGTCTTTATCTCAATGCATGAGTTTTCTCACTTCTAACCTTCCAATTCTCTCCCCCAGCCCACCTGGGGGTAGTGAGCGAGCGGCTGTCTGGTGCTTAGTTGGTGGCTGGGGTTAAACCATGACAGGGGTAGGCAAGACAGGCTGAGAGCTGGATCTGGAGGTGGGAAAAGGCAGCTGCAGTCTCTTCAGTCTCTTCACGAACGCCAGGACTAGGCCTAGAAAGCCTGGGTGACCCTGAGTGAGAGTTTTCCCCTTTGTGAGCAAATGTGGGCACACTTTGGATCATTGTTCTTGCGTGTTGTCGTGTAGTAGTAACATCCCCGACCGGTATACCGAACCTGCAATTTGTTAAATGTTATCGGAGTGTCATCTTGGTTACCTCCGTTGTTTCATCAGTTCTGGTTGTGTGATTTCGGTCACGAATTAAAGTATGTTTGAGTTTATTGCCTGCATGGAGTCATTTGGTGTGCCTTTGTGACAAGGGCTTTCGGGACTCTCCTACAACAGGAGCTTCCATCTTGCAGAGCGGTGCGTGCTTTCTATTGGCAGATCAGGCTTCAGGGGAGGGGGCCTGGCGTTCCCATTGTTCCCCATGGCTTGCCAGCCTGCATTTACACTCAGCCCTCCCTCCCTCTTTACCCAGTTTGCATTTGTCTGCATCTATGACAAGAAAAGGGCCAGCAATAACCCGGCTGTGAAGGAGCGCTGCTAGAGCGGACCCCGTGCACCGTGTGCCAAGGGGAGGGGTGCAGGCTGGGCAGCCTTTTCCTCGCCCGCGTTCCTGTGCCTGCAGCTGTGGGAGCAGGCAGCTCCTGGCAGCCCTGCCAGGAAGAAGTAACTTGGCTGCAAGGGCGTTTTGTGTCAGTTTAGCCTGCTTTTCTCAGCTTTCACGAGACCACTTGTGTAGGAAGTGCCTGTCTCATGTGTCTCAGCTCTTTTTTCTTTTTTTTAAGCAATCCCCAAGCCAAGGGCCTGCTGCTCTCCAGAGCACTGCGGTCTGCGGACAGGACCAGCCCCAGCTTCTGCAGCCTCGGCCAGCGTGGGCAGTGAGTCTGTTGCTGAACTGCCCTGGTACCACCAGCTTCACCATCCTTTTCGTCCTTGCTGCTCTGTAGGCTTGGTTGAGGGTGACCCTGGCGCTGCTTGGTGGTCTGTTCTCTTCTGGCGAGTCTCTGTAGAGCTCAGATCTGAGAGCTGTTCCTTAGGAGGTGCCCAGGGCTCCATTCTGCCCTGGTCTACTTCCCCTGCTGTGAACAGAGAAGCCTGGCTAAGATGCCAGTCCATCCTGCTGCAGAGGAACGGGTGTGAGGGCAAGGAAGGGGTGACTTGCCTTCCCCAGGAGGGCTAAGCCAGATCTCTTAAGCCAAGGGAGAGGCAGTAGCTAACCTCGCCTGCCCCAGAAGATTGAGAAGCTTCTGCAGGACAAGGAGCACGTTCCAGGGGAGTGAATGTAAGTCTATTACAGAGCCCAAGTGCCATCCTGACCTCTTTCAAAGACTACAAAAGAAGAGACAACTATGGCACCTAGGAGACACAAGGAAAGGGGACTGGGCAGCCTGACGCATACCCCAGCCTTAGACCAAGCTCTAAGCATAAGGAGAGCTTTGCTGTCTGTCTGACAAGTGTTTACCACGTGGGACAGCTTGCTGAAGAAAGCCTCTGGAGGACTGCAGCAGTAGGCCAGGCCTACGAGCCTTGGTTCTGCCAGCATATCTCCAGGGCAGAGGTTGCCACTCATTAAAAGTCTGTGGCAAGGGCCAGGTACAGTAGCCACCCTGACAGGTCATTTGGGTGAAGGACCACTGGACTGAACACCAGTGTCTCCACAGTTCATGGCACTGCACACAACTGACAAAGAACAACGACTAGGCACATTTGTACCTGCACAGGTTTCAGCAAAGCACTGGCTTGCATGTGATGACTGGAGTCCTTTGGTTTTCATCAGTATCAGAGTCCTGCTGCCCTGGCCATCAATGTGCCATCCACTTCAAAAATCCATTTGTGGGCACGTAATTCAACTCGCAGCTTCACAGCGATGAACTTCTCAGGGTCGTATCAAGAAAGGATTTGGAATCAAACCACCCTTGGAAGCATAGCAGGAACCTGTCCGGCAGCAGCTGGGCTGCCTAGGAAGACAGGAGACTGAAGGGATACGTCAAAGAGGTTGGATGCACCTCTGGAATAGCCCTATTGTGCAACCTCTCGGTACCACCCTGAGAAGAGGGCCATTTTCATGACAGCGTTTGACATAGGGCCTAAGGCCTCGCATCCCAAAACCCAGCCCCTGCTCCACATGGTTGACCCAAGCATGGCCAGAACCCCAAGAGAGTCCCATCTCTCCTCCAGGTTCTGCGACCGACTGGTGGGTCCTGCACCTGGGGAGAAACAACCCCATTCACCAGTACAGGCTTGGGGCGGACCTGCTGGAGAGCAGCTCTGCGGAGAGGGACCTGGGAGTACTGGTGGACGACAAGCTGACCATGAGCCAGCAGTGTGCCCTGGCTGCCAAGAAGGCCAATGGGATCCTGGCGTGCATCAAGAAGAGTGTGGCCAGCAGGACGAGGGAGGTTCTCCTCCCCCTCTACACTGCCCTAGTGAGGCCTCATCTGGAGTACTGTGTCCAGTTCTG